AAGTAAAGAAACCATGTCGTTGAATGCAAGTAAATCTGAACGGATTTTTCGTTTCCCTACCCTGGAAGAGGGCTAGCTTGAGGCCCTGGTGGTTTCAAAGCTACCATAACAGCACTGAGGCAGATGGACTTCGAAAAGAACGAAAAATAATGTTCAACAACAGTGTGTGCAATTCAAAGTTTCGCTTTCGTTCTACAGTCATTCAACGAAAAGGAAAGAAATTAAAGACCAGCAAACACATTTTACCCTATTTAAGATGAACATACCTAAAGGAACGATGTGATGCGCTGAATGACGTGATATACAGTGAGCACACAGTGTCACCCTACCACAAGTCTCACACGAGCAGAACACTTTAGCGTCATGCGTGGAACAAACTGAAGACGGCCTTGGCGAAGAATCCGACGATCCGCCAAGGACACCATCCTCTCCTGTGCCGAACGCATTTGCAGTCTTAAATCTCCACAATTAACGCAATGCAACTAATTCAATAGAGAACCCAGAACGTATTCAAAATAAACCATGTGATTGAGAAGCTGCTGTAGAGATATGACGACATGATCGCGTGTGACGCGAACTCTTTGGTGAGCGACCACACACACGCCGCAAAGCAGTTCACGGCAATTCGCACAGAACGCCTCTGCTCTGAAATCATTCGTTATTAGAAGATTTCTCTTCATTCTTCTCACCATCATCAGTTGAACCTAGGTATGACCAAGAAACCAATTTCAGCGAAGAAAAAATTCCTTGTCGCGGCGCTCGACCTCAAACGGCTACATTGATTCTCCTCATGGAGATTTACCTTGTAGATGAACTAGCAAATGACCACAAAACAGAATCCATGGCCATAGTTATACCTATTTTCGATAGATAGCTTTTGACAATTAGTTCGCAATTGATTGCGCTAATTTGCTCCTGTTGAACACTATTTTCTCCAATCTTTCTTCCCAATGACACGGTGAGATATACTCTGAACACTTAGTATTGCACGTGCCAGTTGGGTCCTGTCACCATTAGCGAAGACGTTTTTTACTTCACACATAGGCAGCGCGTCGCAGAGAAATTTCTAGCAAAGTACGAAACAGCCATGGTCACTCTGCTTATTCGCTGGAACTTTTCATTCTTGATTTATGAACCTTCAACATAGAATTCTAATTGTTCAGCTCTTCTTAGCAGAACAGTGACGAATAAGTTGCGACTTATGGCATCACTCAAGATTCACCAATCATAACATTAAACGGTAGCGAGGTAACTTTTGAAACGCACTTATCTCTCTTTGTGCCTATAGGCCAAAGCAGTTCATGACTATACCCTAGTTCAACGGAGATATGCATCATTTTAGGTAAGTAATAGGTAACCAGCCACCTTTGAATAGACGAAATATGCGCTCTACTCTATTAGTGTCACTTTACCCTCAGGGTTGGGACAGACCATGGTGGGGTTCCCTCCTTTATTCCAAGTAATTGTAAAAAAA